CAAAATACCACCTGGGGCATGGAGACCCCAGCCCATCTCGCCAGGGCCCAAAACAGCAGGATTGCGGAGCCCCACGGAGTCCGAAGGCATCAACCCATCCCCACCCCAGCAGAATATCTACTCCCATTCCTGCATTTGTCCAACTTCCAGAATATTTAACCCCCAGAGACCCACGGTTGTAATATTACAGCATCAGATTTAAGTCTACAAAAATAAACCTTCCCCATTTTTTTTCTTTTTAAAACCACATTTACATTGCTAATAGGTCCTATCGTTCAGTTCTGCAACACTATTGGCTGTTAAAATGTGTAAATAGGCCCGTTTATCTGCCTCCTAGAACAACATGTGAAAGGTTAAAAAAAACGTTGCAGTTGCTTTCTAAATTTGGGTTTCTGGGGGGTTAAGACATCCAGGTAAACTGGGTCCTCCCTCTTCTGGACATCCCCCTCCCCCATGATGGAACAGAATTGTGGATTGTGGAATTTGATATTTTGAATATTTTTTATTTAATCCTATCTATGGTTTAATATCATGCCATACAACGTGTCTGATTTTGTAAAGAAAGCATAGCTTTTTTTTTTTTTTTTTTAGTTTGGTAAGGTAAGCACATTCCTCAGTAAAAATGCATGCATAGGGAGTCTAAGTCACGCCCATCTACTTCCAGACAATGGGTCCCCGGAAGAACGAAAAAATGAATGCAAGTCGATGGGGCTAAAAACGCTATTTTCTAACTCCGCATGTTTTGTGCCATGGATTTCACATATGATGCCCATGAATTTTAAAGAAGCATTTTGATACCAAGAACACGCTTATTTTCGAATGGGGTAAAACGCCATTTTAGGTTTTGAGTTAAAATAGGTTCAGGACTACAAATGCGCTTCACAAAAGTGACGTGATCGAACCAGACACGGAGAAAATTGAGGGAAAATGGCTGTAAATTTAGCAAGCTTAAAATCCTTTCTTCAGGAGGAAAAAAACCCACCATAAATCTGGTCATTTGGTAAGCAGCAGCTACAGAGAAGATATTATGTGGTGACATCATATACGTATGCGACGTGCCGATATCTGATTTGTAGTAATGTAAATTACGAACTTTTACAAGCAGAAAATCAAAGTAGGTGACAGGCGCGGTCGAAACACCCATAATTAGTTTTAATTTAAATTGTGGTACAATATATGTGCGATCCAGGGTGTAAGGTAAAGCGGATTAGAAAATAGCTCTTTTAGCTCCACTGACTTGCATTCATTTTTTCTTTCTTCCGGGGACCCATGAGCCGACCGGAAAAGGCGAAGAGACCCATCCAAGTTGGTGGCCGATCACTATGGCAGCTCCTATAGGGAGCCTAAGTCTACTTTCGCACCATGGATTAGTCCTGTTGTCGTGTTTAGATATTTTTTGTGATTATTTGGCCTTGATTACACTCCAAATCAGAGGTGTCAAACTCATTTTCGTTTTCAATTCAGTTCAATTCAAATTCAAAAATACTTTATTAATCCCAGAGGGAAATTGATTGCTGTAGTAGCTCAGAATAATAATAATAATAATCAAGTCATCAATGAGTTATTGTATATTACAACGGCTGTTGGCAGGAAGGATCTCCAGTAGCGGTCAGTGTTGCAGCGAAACTGAAGAAGCCTCTGACTGAAGACACTCTTCCGTTGTCGGACAGTCTTGTGAAGAGAATGCTCAGGGTTGTCCATCATTTTCTTGATTCTCTGGAGAATCCTTCTTTGCATTATCTCCTCCAGTGGTTCCACAGTCGTCCCCAGAACAGAACCAGCCTTCTTTATTAGGCTGTTGAGCCTTTTCAGGTCCCTGCTTCTGATGCTACTACCCCAACAGACGATGGCTGAAGAGATTACACTCTCAACAACAGACTTGTAGAAGATCTGCAGCATCTTGCTACAGACATTGAAGGACCTAAGCATCCTCAAGAAGTGCAGTCTGCTGTGTCCCTTCTTGTAAACGGCTTTGCTGTTCTTTCTCCAGTCCAGTCTGTTGTCCAGGTGAACTCCAAGGTATTTGTATTCCTCAACCACCTCCACTTCTTCTCCCATGATGGACACAGTGTTTGACTCCACCCTGTTTCTTCTGAAGTCTAAAATCATCTCCTTTGTTTTGTTCACGTTCAAGGTCAGATGATTGTTTCCACACCATGCCACAAAGCGCTCCACCAGCTCTCTGTACTCAGCTTCCTGTCCATCTCTGATACACCCGACAACTGCAGAGTCATCTGAGTATTTCTGTAGATGACAGGTCTCTGATTTGTACTGATTTGCGTCAAATCAAGATCATGAATGCCTTTAAAGGGGCCGGTTGAGGCAGAAAATATTGATAAAAATGTCTTCAAAATGTCCGAGCCACCTCAACTGGCTACTCTCGATATAGAGGAGCAGCAAGTCCACTTCGAGTCTACTCGACTGATAAATCGAGAGCTTTGCCTTCCAGCTCAGCTCTCTCTTTACCACAACAGATTGGTACAATGTCTCAATCTCTCTTTTGGTCTTTTCCTAGTTGGACGTGCCTGGAAAACCTCACCAGGTAAACGTTCAGGAGGTATTCTAACAAGATGCCAGAGCCACCTCAACTAACTCCTCTCAATGTGGAGGAGCAGGGGGTCTACTTCAAGCCCCTCCTGGATGACCAAGCTTCTCACCGTATCTCTAAGGGAGAGCCCAGCCACCCTGCGGACAAAACTCATTTTGGCCGCTTGTATCCACAATCTCGTTCTTTCAGTCACTACTTAAAGCTCGTGACCTTAGGTGAGGGTAGGAACGTAGATCGAATGGTAAATTGAGAGTTTCGCCTTCTGGCTTAGCTCCCTCTTCACCACGACAGATTGGTACAACGCTCGCATCACTGCAGACGCAGCACCAATTCGCCTATCGATCTCATGCTCCATCTTTCTTTTACACCAAGATACTTAAACTCCTCCACTTGGTGCAGAACCTCATCTCTGATCCAGGGAAGGCATTCTACCCTTTTCCAACTCAAGCCACATGAGGTGTAGCATCATATTGAATCTAGTTTGTAATCATTTTTTATTTTTTGTTCTTGTAAAGTGCCTCGTGATTTTTTCTTGAGAGGAATCTTTTGTTTTTCTAGTTATTCTGCTATAATACGTATTGTAAAGTTGAAATGATCACCCAGAGTGTAACAGTTCATTTAATTTATTCCTCAGAAGCTATGGTCCCGAAGCAAACCAATAGAGCATTGTGATTGGCCCACCAAACCAATACAGCACTGTGATTGGCCCACCAAACCGATAGAGCGCTCTGATTGGTCCACCAAACCGATAGAGCACACTGATTGGCCCACCAAACCGATAGAGCGCTGTGATTGGCCCACCAAACCAATACAGCACTGTGATTGGCCCACCAAACCGATAGAGCGCTCTGATTGGTCCACCAAACCGATAGAGCACACTGATTGGCCCACCAAACCGATAGAGCGCTGTGATTGGCCCACCAAACCAATACAGCGCTGTGATTGGCCCACCAAACCGATATAGCACTGTGATTGGTAAGACTCAAAGCTGTTTGGGCTTGTTGAGGATCCAGTGGAGCACGGCTAGACTGATGTGCAAAGTGAAATCCTTTTGATCCTGCTACAGTCTGTCTAGATTTCTAGGCTACCACTGAATAATTGCATTGTGAAGATCATGTATCACTTTCATTCCACTTCACAATTACGTGCTACTTTGTGGTAGTAACACAGAAAATCACAATAAAAATTGTCAAAATGTGTAAAAGTTCATGAGGCATGAATACTTTTACAAGGTAACGTTTCTGTCGTTTCACTGCATTGTCAGTTTAAATCCACTTACATTATGTGATATTAGGGCTGGACAATGATTCAATAACGATATATTTATATCATTTCTTTTTTCATTATAGCCTATCGCGTGGCTTCATACAAGAGTCGCTACTACACCTAACCAATCAAAAACACAGACCCAGGGAGGTCACCAAGCTCTCCCCTCTAAAACCAAAACAGACAGCGAATGACTTAAGCAAGATGTTGCAGCAAGGAGAGGTTGAGGAAATTGTCCCGAAAAAAGGTTGCAGTAGTTCACTAACATGGCAATATTTTGGTCCAACAAAAATTGCTAAATTCTCAGAGAATCAAATAAAAACAAAGTCTGATAACAACTTGTTTTATGATGATAGGGCAGCATTTAAAATGTATTTAGTAAATTTTTATAGTTATCAATACTTATTGATATCAATCAGTATGATTTTATTTTAAATAAATAAGCTTTTTTCTATATCGTCCAGGCCTATGTGATATACCATTATAATATTGGACCCCATTTTGCCTTCAGAACCCATTTTCTGTCTTTTTGATGCTTGATTTGAGGGTTTGTGAGTTCTCATGTCTTGATGCCTAAATGCTTCAAATGAGTGGCTGATTAGTTATTTGTGTAAACAAACAATAGAACAGGTGTACCTAATAAAGAAGCCGATATAGAAACATTTTGATTGTGTTGGTCTAATGTTTGTCTACTTCTTTAGGCTTGTTGTGCTGTTGGTGGGCATCAGTGTTATACCCAAGGTCCCAGACATGTGTTTATTATTTTTATTATTATGACAATAATAATTTTAATAATAATTGAAGTGATTTAAAAAAATGATTAAAATGAACATTATTATAATAAAGAAGAAACGATCTTTTATATAGCGCCTCAAGATAAAAATCACTAGAACAAAAATGAAAAATAATAAAATTTAAAAATGATTAAAAAATGCTTAAAATTGGTAGAAGTAAAAGTGATGATAATGGTGATTTATTATTATTATTATGATTATTATCATTATTATTATTATTATTATTATTATTATTATTATTATTATTATTATTATTATTATTATCATTATAAATATAGAGTTTTAGTTTTACAACAGCCTTTTGAAAATTTCCAGTCTATGCATTATCAAGTTGATCCAGTAGGGGGGGTGGGTAAAATCTGCAACCGTGTTGGTTGTCTCAATTAAAACGAAGAAGAAGAAGAAGAATAGAAGAAGTAAACGTTGGAGCTAACAGCGTTTACCAGTTAACCGCGGTGTACAAAGTTTTTATTCAAATAGCGCTCCGATAAGTTTGATTACGTTTCCTAAATACTTAGAAACATGTTTTTGGAGTTCTTGTTTGTGTCTGACGTCTAAATAAAAGGTAAGACATAAACATTTCACCCAGATTTCCGACGTTTTGTTTGCTTATAACTACGTCCGCACATTCTCCTCTTTTTATTCGTGACTCGTCGTTATAAAAAGCATGAGTGATGAAGAAGAAGCCAGGGGTGGCTCACCCTCCGGTGGCACCGTCAGGCGTTTGAAACGGAGCCACCCAGCTCAAAGCTCCAGCGAGAAATGTTGGGTGAACATTGGCGTTGCCTTCCAGAGTTGGCGCTCAGAGAAAAAAGCACGCGGATTACCAACGGATGAAGCTGCGGCTTTGTTTCTTCTCGACGAGTAAGTTCTGCAGAACAACTGTGCACAGTTCATTATGTGTTTGCACCAAGTCTAATGATTTTGCACCAAGTCTAATGCGTTTGCACCAAGTCTAATGTATTTGCTTCTAGTCTAATGCGTTTGCACCAAGTCTAATATGCGTTTGCATCAAGTCAAATGCGTTTCCACCAAGTCTAATGTGTTTGCAACAAGTCTAATGATTTAGCACCAAGTTTAATGCGTTTGCACAGATGTTGGTTTCATTTATAGTGTTTTGTTTGTGTTCAGTCAACTGATGATTTCTGGCTAAGTAAACTTACCAGCTGTTATACCAGCAGGATTAATATGTTCTAAATACCATACCATACCAACTTTATTTCTATAGCACAATTTAAGACACAGCGTGAGAGCTGACCAAAGTGCTGAACAGGCAGGATCAATTAAAACAAAAGTAAAAACAATAAGAAGATAAAACATAACAATAAAAACTATAAAATCATAATATGATAACATGAGTCACTGTCTAAAAGCCAAGCCATGAAAGTAGGTTTTTAAACGAGATTTAAAAACAGACCAAGAGGATGCCAGCCTAACTGTAATGGGCAATGAGTTCCAGAGCATGGGGGCAGCATGGACAAACGCACGTTCACCTCGTGATTTGTAGGCCATCCGGGGAATGCAAAGCAGTAGACGGTCAGCTGACCTCAACATACTAGTAGGTACATAGGGAGTCAGCAGGTCGGACAAATAAGGAGGAGCTAGGTCAAGTAGGGCATTAAAAACAAACATCAATACCTTTGAGTAACTCATGTGGTGGAAAAGGAGGAAGCCAAGAAGCAGTTTTTCTGAAGGACTTGGAGGAGATGCAGGAAGCAAAAAGAGACAGACAGGATGGGAAAATATTCAAATAAACAACAAGAAAGTGCATGAAAATGTATATGTATTACCTTTTTATAAAGCAATCATTTATCAGCATTTAATATTTCTATATTTGATACAATTCAGATCACCTTCAAAGCCCAGGCCTACACCTAGGGCCGTTTTGGGGCCCTGGGTGTGGGCCACAATACTACTTCACTTTCTTAATTCTTTTTTTATGTGTTATAGGGATTCTGTATCTGCAGATGCTCAAAATGAAATGGCTCGGGGGGGAATGTTTTGATTGAGACATACCTAGTTTTTACATTTTGTTGCTTTTTCATTAATTTTTAAATTTTAAAACTTTTTATTGCAGTAATGTTTTATACTAACCGTGTCAAATCCTGGTCCTTCATTGCCTCCATCCTGCAAGTTTGAGAAGTTTTTCTGCTCTAAATCACCTCACTTTAATCAGTCGGTGACAACAAGCTTCTTGATGACCTTCAGAACAGAAAATGCAACCATTAGCTGTGTTTCCACTACCGTAACTTCAGGGTAGATTTACAGGAACGTCTCGACATGCGTGTCTCCCTTGACCGGGCCGGCCAAATGACTGTTTTCCAGGCCGTTTTCAGGGTAGGTACTCCGAATGGTCTGTTGGCGTATTGAGCAGAACCTTTGGTCAATTCTCGCTGACTGGTTGTAACTCAGTAGGAATTTACATCAGCAGACGTCGTCCAAAACAACCGGCATTAGTAAAATTAGTAAAGTTGCTGGTGATGCTGACTAACTATATTATCTATATTATCTCGGTGGATTACCGTGGCTGCGGTGTAGGCGCGGTGACCCTTACCAGCCACCGTACCATCTGCTGAAGTTGCCGGCGGTACATGCGCACTTTGTTGTTTACAGCCAAAACTTTCTTGAAGCTAAAGCTGAAATAATGGCCAAAGGAGGAGACGGCAGTGCTCAGGAGGACATTTTTTATCCCTCAAAGAAGACAAAGTGGGAAGTACGGGCATCTTTTGGATATGTGAAGAATGCCGAGGGACAGTTGATAGAAGACGGCTATCCTGTTTGCAGCACGTGCAGAAAAAGTGTCTGTGAAAGGCAGCAATGCTTCAAATCTCATGACACATCTGCGTGACCATCACCCACAACTCTACAGTCAACGCAAGGCAAGTTAGCGTTTTAGCTCAAATGCGTGATCCGAGGATTTGGGTCGAGGGAGAATGCAACGAGTCACTATATAAAGCAGCCGCAGCGCCGCTACCTGCATATAAACCGTGTCACGGACACCCCCATGTTGAAATGACGCTATGCATTACGGGGCTCCCAGGGGCAGATAAGAGTTGGTCTCTCTCCGAGAATAATTATGAATTTAACAACGATTACTGCCTGATGACATTTTCCCACATCTGCAAAGCTCACTGGAAGGACACAAACCGAGGACAATATTTTCCTGATATAGGGTTTATTACTCAAGTAAGGGTAAAAAAGTATCTGATTAGAAGGCTACTTGAGTACTGAGTATCATCTGATCTAATATTTTTAAAATGATGACATCAAACAGACATAAAATAAGAAGTTATGGGCAAATATTGGTATTTTAAAGACTAAAGGGAAAAAATGTAAACAAGTAAACAACATAATTACAAAATAACAAATTTTAGGCAAAATTTAGACACAAACTGAGGACAATATTTTCCTGATATACAGGGTTTATTTAGTTGTCTGAAAATGTAACACGTTTAAAAAAATACCGTGATAATACCGAAAACCGTGATAATTTTGGTCACAATAACCTTGAGGTTAAATTTTCACACCATGACAATCCTAAAGCTGACTGGAAGCAAAGGAAAATAAGCATAGATCACACTTAAAATCAAACTCTTGGCACCAGAAAGCACGGGGAAAATGCTCCCACAAACTTTGTTGTCTCGCAGAACGCTGTAAAAAATGGCACATCTTCTGGTCATTGAACACCACATTTTACATCACACAGCTGCTCTCCTCTGAATGAACGAAATGATAATATACTTCGACAGAATAGATACTTTTAATGTATTAAATCTGCTTTGGACGCTTATCAATGAGATCCCACACAGCCAAAGCAGCCGCAATATATATTTTTTCTGTGCAAAGTTCTGAAGGGGCTGAATTTGAATGGAGACACAACAGCTGAGAGGACTGACCCCCAAATTCCACTACCTCCGCTCCGGCACGAACTCCGGAGCAAAATCGGTCCCGTTGTAGTCAATCAGAGCAATTCCACTACTGCGGCCGTGCTCCGGCAGTGCGCCGCCCTCTGTTCCGGCGTCCGGCAAAAATAGAATCGATCCTATTTTTGCCGGACGCCGGAGCACCTCCGCAGTCAATGGACAGGAATCACAACTGCCCAACAGGAAAGGGAGCAAGCACAACTTCCGTTATTTCACAATGCATCGATAAACAAAAGGCGTTTTTTGTTTCATATGCACAGGTTTAACAACTTTTAACAACTATCAATGGCGGCTGAACTTTATATGCACAAAAGTAAGCCATAAATACAGTTTCCACTATCAAAGTAGTCACACTTTGTTGATCCAAACACTGCTGATCTCTCAACACAAATGATGGGCAGATTGAACAGTTCATTTCGATGCTTCTCCCACACAACGGGTGTTTGGATCTAACTTCCGCGTTTATTGCTCGGACTGTATCACAAGATCTCGAAAATCCCGCGCATGCTTGTTTGCCCACCTCAGGTCTCCGCACCGGAGCGGACCCTTGTAGAGCGGGTACCAGTAAAAATTGAGTTCGGAAGCGAGCGGCTGCGGAAGGCGGGGGCGGAGCGGAGCAGAGGTAGTGGAATTTGGGGGTGAGACATCACTGTCAATTTTCCCGTCCCAGGACATGCCCTAAAGATCCGGTAACGGAAATACAGCTAGCGAGTCAGGTGTGTTGGAACGGGGAAACATGCGGGATAGTGGCCCTTGACGACCAGGATTTAACACACTTGTTTAATACCTTTCTTACTGATGTAGCGTTTATAATGAGTGTAAACTTGTTTGAACTCCTGCAGTTTCAGTGCTGCAAACCCTCCTTCCAGTTTAGTCATTTTGTTAGTGAGGCTGGATGTGCTGTCTTTACCTTGATGGTGGTTTTAACTTTCTGTTTTTGTGTCTGTATAAAGAGGGAAGAAAAATGCATCACAGCCACAGGGCGCTGGCAATGGGAAGATCAGAGTCTCTAAATCTCAGGTAAGTAAAATCTGATTACTGGTGTAATTTTATTGTTCGTGCACAAATTAGCAAATGTCCACATTGTAGACATCAATCATACAAGTCGAAAGCAACATCAAATCCAAGAATAAATGTTTCTCTTGAGGACTAATAGCTTTTGATCTGCTAGCCCCCACATCTGAAGTGTCGACTTCCACCATGAAGGGTTTGGTGGGATAGGAGCCAAGATAAAAAGTGTTGTCAGGTGTTGGAAGGCTGTATTAATGGATGAACTGGTGGTAAAAATCTTCAAAGTCAAGAAAGCTCTGGAGCTTTTTGCAGCTGGCGGGTAACGGCCAATGGTTAACAGCCTGCACCTTCTGGGGTCTATGGCCAAACCATCTGCAGACATGGTGAAGCCCAGGAAGGAAGTGGTGTGGTGGTGGAATGAACACTTTTCCGGTCTACAGTAAAGGCGGGCTTTGAGTAGATGATGAAGGACCGCACGCACATACTGTATGTGGTTGGCTTTGTTCCAGGAGTAGACTAGGATGGCAGTAGCCTAAGCAGGGAGGCTTAAGGTTGGTTTATTGTTGACGCGTCCACGAGGTTCGCACGGCTCCGCACAGCGAAATTGTGTCATTTTAACAACCACGCGCCTCTGCACGGCCCAAAATTTCCGCACCGCGCACCTAGGAAATTTTCTAACCACGCGGACGGTCGGACACGGAAAAACATGGCGGACCGGCAAGAACTAGTATGGCAGAGGTTCGTAAATACAGACATTTGTATGATTCAGCTCTCAAAGATCACCGTGATCAACATGTTGTTAATAATTCTTGGAGAGAAATAGCTCGCACTGTCAGAATAGACGAGTGTAATAAAAATGAACTTGTCATCTGTTGTATAATTGCTTTATATAAGTTATTGATCACTACTGTTTGTCAATCACACTTATCATGAGGATGTAATCAAGGGTAATCATGGTAGAGCCGAACATAATGTGATCATGAGGATGTAATCAAGGTAATCATGGTAGAGGTGTGCAGCTTTGCACGCACATCAGGGAATGTATAAGGAGCAGAGCAGGGCTCAGGGGGGTTAGAGCTGCTTGAAGGATTCTACCTGACGAGGTTCATGGATTACATGTGTTCAGTTCTTCACCTATCATGGATTACGTTTTCTAACTGGGGTGTTCAGCTCTCCACCCATAAGCAACGGTAAGAGAAATGTTTCGTTCATGATTGATAACTTGTATGAATGCCGGTTGAATAAAGCCTTGTTGTTCATCTGATATTCAAGTTGTGTTTCATTGTTTCTGGCGTCGACTTGACAACGATCCTGACTAAATAAATATAAAGTGTAAAAAGAGACTTTGAGTCTTTTAAGGTAATTAAAATAAAATAAAACATTTTATTTTAGAACAACGAGGACGCTGTTAAAAATGCTGGAATGCCATGTTGTAAACAGTAGTTTCTACTTCTACTATGGTGTGGTGTTGGATGCATGCCGTGTAGAGCTCCATGCTGCCTCCTACAGTTTGGGAGAATATTGGCTCACCGCAGAGACAAGCCGCCTGAACCATAAACGCTGCGAGTTGTGAAGCGCGTTCCATCCGCGAGCCGCATCACCAAGCAGAAAGTGAATGCTTCAAGCATAAACCAAGCTTTAGACTTCCCTCTCCCCAACTACTTGGGCCAGCTCCTCCGGGGGAATCCCAAGGCGTTCTCTGGCCAGCCGAGAGACGTAGTCCCTCCAGCGTGTCCTGGATTTCCCTTTAGGTCTTTTCCTGGTTGGACGTGCTTAATACCAGCTACTGTGTGTGCAAACCTGGTAAAGACCTATAGTAATCGTTTGACCTCTGTTATTGCCAACAAAGGTTATGTTACAAAGTATTGAGTTGAATTTTTGTTATTGACCAAATACTTATTTTCCACCCTGATTTACAAATAAATTCTTTAAAAATCCTGCCATGTGAATTCATGGATTTTTTTTCACATTCTGTCTCTCACAGTTGAAGTGTACCTATGATGAAAATTACTGACCTCTGTCATCATTTTAAGTGGGACAACTTGCACAATCGGTGGCTGACTAAATACTGTTTTGCCCCACTGTAGGTGAGGGTAGGAATGTAGATCGACCGGTAAATCGAGAACTTCCCCTTCCAGCTCATCTCTCTCTTTATCACGACAGACCGGTACAACGCCCGCATCTCTGCAAACGCGGCACCAATCCAGCTTATGATCTCACGCTCCATTTTTCCCTCACTCATGAACAAAACCCCGAGATACTTAAACTCCTCCACTTGGGGCAGAACCGCATCCCTGACCTGGAGAGCCTCATTCTTTAAGGGGTTTCTTTGACTTTTGGTTGCTTTTTCACCCATTGTCAGTCACTTTTTGGCGTGACCACGACAGCAGATTGTGCAGTGAGTTTTACTGAAAGTTTTTGGAGTGTTGGCCTCCTTTTTCAGCAATCTTGTCATAGGGTTATCAAAATAAAGCATGCAAGGTAAAACATTCAGAAAGGCCCATACAGATTATAAATTAATTAAGTTGATGTAACTTGTATCTGGTAAAGTTGTTACTAATTTTCTTATTTCGGTTTTCTTTGTTCTGGTGTTTTGCCGCTTTTAAGCACATCATCATTTAAGACTTTGTATGTTCTTTTGTGTTCCTGCAGTTGCAAGAGCTGATTCAGCATGAGGTCTGCACAGCAGAGGCAAACAATGAAGCCAAGACGCGTCAATTAATGAAAGCAGTCGAGCAGATGAAAGATGATACAAGCATTGAAAAATCATTCCAACAAATGGAGGTGTGGGGAAAGTATCTTCTATATTTTCCATTTTACCCAAATTCAACTTTTCTATTTTCTTTAAGTGTTTTCCCTCACCTTTTGAATTCTTAAATCACGGGTAGTTTTTATGAGCATACGCCTTATTTCATTATTATTTGGTGTGTATGGCAGCTCCACTTACTCACCTAAAGGATTATTAGGAACACCTTTTCAACTTCTCCTTAATGCAATTATCTAATCAACCAATCACATGGCAGTTGCTTCAGTGCATTTAGGGGTGTGGTCCTGGTCAAGGCAATCTCCTGAACTCCAAACTGAATATCAGAATGGGAAAGAAAGGGGATTTAAGCAATTCTGAACGTGGCATGGTTGTTGGTGTCAGACGGGCCGGTCTGACTATTTCACAATCTGCTCAGTTACTGGGATTTTCACCCACAACCATTTCCAGGGTTTACAAAGGGTGTGAAAATGGAAAAACATCCAGTATGCGGCAGTCCTGTGGGCGAAAATGCCTTGTTTATGCTAGCGATCAGAGGTGAATGGGCCGACTGATTCAAGCTGATAGAAGAGCAACTTTGACTAAAATAATCACTCGTTACAACCGAGGAATGCAGCAAAGCATTTGTGAAGCCACAACACGCACAACCTTGAGGCGGATGGGCTGCAACAGCAGAAGACCCCACCGGGTACCACTCATCTCCACTACAAACAGGAAAAAGAGGCTACAATTTGCACCAGCTCACCAAAATTGGACAGTTGAAGACTGGAAAAATGTTGCCTGGTCTGATGAATCTCGATTTCTGTTGAGACATTCAAATGGTAGAGTCAGAATTTGGCGTAAACAGAATGAGATCATGAGATCATGCCTTGTTACCACTGTGCAGGCTGGTGGTGGTGGTGTCATGGTGTGGGGGGATATTTTCTTGGCACACTTTAGGCCCCGTAGTGCCAATTGGGCATCATTTAAATGCCACGGGCTAGCTGAGCATTGTTTCTGACCATGTCCATCCCTTCATGACCACTGTGTACCCATCCTCTGATGGCTACTTCCATCAATCCATTTTCATTCGCTTATCCGGAGTCGAGTCACGGGGGCAGTAGCCTAAGGCGAGAGGCCCAGGCTTCCCTCTCCCCAGCCACTTGGGCCAGCTCCTCCGGGGGAATCCCAAGGCGTTCCCTGGCCAGGTGAGAGAGATAGTCCCTCCACCGTGTCCTGGGTCTACCTTTAGGTCTCCTCCCGGTTGGACGTGCCCGGAAAACCTCACCAGGGAGGCGTCCAGGAGGCATCCTGACCAGATGCCCGAGCTACCTTAACTGGCTCCTCTCGATGTGGAGGAGCAGCGGGTCTACTCCGAGCCCCTCCCGAATGACCGAGCTTCTCACCCAATCTCTAAGGGAGGGCTCAGCCACCCTGCGGAGAAAACTCATTTCGGCCGCTTGTATCCGCGATCTCGTTCTTTCGGTCACTACCCAAAGCTCGTGACCATAGGTGAGGGTAGGAACATAGATTGACCGGTAAATCGAGAGCTTCGCCTTCTGACTCGGCTCTCTCTTCACCACGACAGACTGGTACAACGCCCGCATCACTGCAGATGCAGCACCAATCCGCCTATCGATCTCACGCTCCAGTTTTCCCTCACTCGTGAACAAGACCCCGAGATACTTAAACTCCTCCACTTGGGGCAGGACCTCATCCCTGACCCGGAGAAGGCATTCTACCTTTTTCCAAATCATGATGGCTACTTCCAGCAGGATAATACACCATGTCATAAAGCTCCAATCATTTCAAATTGGTTTCTTGAACATGACGATGAGTTCACTGTACTACAACGGCCCCCACAGTCACCAGATCTCAACCTGATAGAGCATCTTTGGGATGTGGTGGAATGGGAGCTTTGTGCCCTGGATGTGCATCCCACACATCTCCATCAACTGCAAGATGCTATCCTATCAATGTGGGCCAACATTTCTAAAGAATGCTTTCAGCACCTTGTTGAATCAATGCCACGTAGAATTAAGGCGGTTCTGAAGGTGAAAGGGGGTCAAACATCGTATCCTTTAGGTGAGTGCATGTCATGTCCCTGGGCCTCTGTGGCTACATTGTGACTCATCACCGCCATCATGTGAATGCATATGTGGGTTATTGCCTGTTGTGTTGTAAAGTGCCTTGGGGGGGTTAAAGGTCACAGAAGCTGTGTAACTACAGGCCATTTACCATATTTCCTTATTAACAAAAGCAAATGTAATCTAGCGTTTAAAGAAGTTTTAGCCAAGTAACCGATTGGATGGATGAATAACTCGTCCCACCGTTTTTGTCTCAGATGAACTAACCCCAAGACCAATCATCTCCCCTCTCCCACAGGCTCAGATCAACCTCATGTCAAAGAGGGTAGAGGTGGCCCTTGCTTACCTAAAAAGAACACAGGATCAGGTTTGTAAACATATTTAAGTCATTATGCACGAGCTGTCTCTTTAGAGTAGACGTGGTAGTAAAATGCCAAGACACTCAGAGTTGGAGTGAGAAAACTAATCATTGATTAAAGTTTTTTGTTTTTGAACCCAAAGTAGAAAAACTGAATGTCATTTTTCAACATCATTTCAGAGTTTAACGTCCGCCCATGCTGATGCAGACAGGATCAGGTATGTCGGCTATTGCAGTAGCTTTAATTCCCAGCCTGAGTAAAAAATGTACTATTATTGTTTTCTGTCTCTGTAGGGGAGACTCTGATGAAGCTACAGAGATTTCAGTACTGAGTAAGAGACCAGCATGTACATTTGGACACAAAACACATTATGATTGGATTTTATTTTTAATTCTATGCTTTTCTTTAAGCACCTTGTGACTTTTATCATTTTAATCATACACATAAACCTTTCCTCCTCTTACATCCTAGTTGATAAAGAGAAAAGCAAATGTATCATCAAGATTGAAGAGGCTGTTGATTTGATGGTAAATATGCTGCTACGTATGTTTTTTAGTGTTTAAAGCATTAAAATGGGATGGAGAGGTTGATGTTTGATAGAATTTGTTGGTGGTAAAGTTGGTTAGTGTGACTTATTTCCAGGAGAAATGACGAACGTAGATTTGAAAACTTACATTGTCGTACGAGCAAAAATCAACAAAGTAATGAGAATGGCTTTCTTTTTAGAAAACAGCTAAATGTACGCTTGAGGAGGTCAGAGTAAATAAAGAGGGTAAGATAAACTATTCAACAGGTTTTTTTTCTCCTCTTTGAGACACATTCATTTTGTGATCTGTAATGTAATGTCGACAGGTGCCATGGTTGAATTTACGCCAGAGAAGGCTCCACCCACTCTTTCTCCCAACGGTTCATGGACGGTGTGTGATTTATAGTTTTTTATCTTTATTTTTATTTATATATAAGTCTACTTCCCCCACGACCCAACTCTAGATAAGGGGATGAAAATGGATGGATGGATGGAATGGATATATGTATATAAATATGTGTGTATATGTATGTATGTATGTATATGTATATATATGTATATGTGTGTATATGTATGTATATATATATATATATACAGATAGATAGATAGATAGATAGATATAACCCTTTCACACCAGTGGTGTTCAGTTGCTAAATATGCAAGTGCATTATGAGTAAAAGATGCAGGGAATTGCGACGCTTCAGCCAGATGGTCCAGCAGCGGCTGCTTTTGGTTTGAATGCAACTATTGCAGTTTTTAGACAAATGCAAGAGAACCACTTTATTCCTTTTTATTTATTGTTATTATTATTTTTTATCTCCACTATATATTTATAGTTATACTACGTTAGAACGTTGTTAAGAGGCATGAAAAAGATTTAAGCTAATATGTTTTCCAAATTAGCAGTTGTAGCTTTAACACCAGTCAACGTTTTCTAAGTCCAGACATTTTCTGTTGTCTGTGCCTTATAATGGCATTTTCCTTTTCGGCCTCTGGTAGTTTGTCCTAAAGTTGAAGTGGTAGCAGCCGGCTGTTTCTCCTCCCACACCAGTGGTGTTTTGTGCGTAATGATTGGAGGACCCATGGAAGTGTGAAAGTGAGGCGCTTCAGTGAAACAGACAATATCATGGTCCAATAGTGGCTTTCAGTCCAAGCCGTGTTATTGGCTTAGGTTTTTAAACAAAAACAAGATAACCACTTCATTACTTTTTTCTCATTTTAAATCTCCACCATGTATTTATAGCTATACTATGTTGGAACGCTGTTAAGAGGAGTGAAAAAATATTTTAAGCTAGCTTGTTGTGCAGAAGTGCCATTGTAGCTTTAAAAGTAAAAAAAAAAAAAAAAAAAAAAAAACGTATTTTGAGTAGAATGCTACTTTAAAAATATATTAATCAGTTTACCAAACAATTAAAGTTAGGTTTTGATTTAAATTATAGCACCTAATGTCAAAGTGCTGCACATAAGATGAGTGAACCCATTGAGGTTTAAGTGGATTGGTTCTTTCTTTGCAGGAAACAAAAGAAGGAGAAAAGCATGTCTGCTGGCCTAGTGATGGTAGGTTCATTTTAGAGATGCAAATATGAGCTTATATGAAAATCATTTTCAGGCAATGTTTGGGTGATGACTTCATTCGGGTAGTCAGTGGGCTTTCTTTCTGTGAAAATTCTGCATAAGCTTGTGTCAGTATGTGAAAAAAGTCACTTTTTCCTGCTTACTGTTTCTTTGTCTTTTTGTGGGGCCAAATTTGCGATAATCTCCCGACAACCTTCATGGTAGAGTTCAGTGAAAAGGGGTCTCCACCGACTTTAATGCCCATGGTGTCTTCAGAGCAGATGGTAAGATGCTGAATACTCAAAACCTTAGTTTAAGATAACCATTTAGCTTTATTGTTATAACATTTTTAATTCCTAAAAATTTCCTTCTTTTTTTTTCGTAGTAAGTGTTTTTTCTAATATTAAACAGAAATCTGGATTTCTTTTTGTCAAGAGTTCACTATTTAGAGGTGGAAAATATATTTTGCACCATAAGCTCCTTTCTGTACTTCCTTGGTTACGGCTGGATGCAACACCTTGTTTGTGAACACGTACCTCTAACCAGCCAACAAAGTCATACACATTGCTTTACAATGGTTATTACTGCATTATATGAATTCTTGTCTCACCCACCACGGGTGGTCTCATCCCTCCAAGCTCGGGTCCTCTACCAGAGGTCTTGGAGCTTGAGGGTTCTGCGCAGTATCTTAGCTGTTCCTAGATCTGCACTTCTCTGGACTGAGATGTCTGATGTTGTTCCTGGGAACTGCTTTAGCCACTTCTCCAGTTTGTAACTTAGTTATGGCGCGGTATGGGGGCCAAAATTAAGACTACTGCCCAGCAGCAGGAGGCTATATAAATTCCTAAGCAAACTACTGATCTGATTAATGATAAGCTGGCGCAGCGTTAGCCTGGGAAGGCTGGTGTTAGCATTGGAGAGGCTAGCCATTAGCGTGCCTAGGCTGGCCACTAGCTGGATTTCCTACCTCCTCAACGGACCATTAGCATAGATAGGCTGGCGTTAGCATCGGAGAGGCTAGCCATTAGCGTGCTTAGGCATGCCACTAGCTGGATTTCCTACCTCGACGGACCTTAAGCATGGTTAGGCTGGCATTAGCATCGGAGAGGCTAGCCATTAGCATGTCTCGGAGAGTCACTAGTCAGCTAGTGGCCAGCCTAGGCACTCTAATGGCTAGCCTCTCCAATGCTAACACCAGCCCGTCCAGGCTAACGCTAGCCTTTCCATGCTAATAGACAGCAGAGGGAGTGTGTGAACCAGTCAATGACTAGCCGAGGGCTGCTAGTCCCTAGCGTATCTAGTAGTAACGCCAGTAAAGGTGCTATTCCTCAGTAAGCAGCGCCAGCCTCTCAGTTACCGGCGCCAGCTTATCATTAATCAGGTCGGTAGTTTGCTTCAGAATTTATATAGCTTCCTGCTGCTGGGCAGTAGTCTTAATTTTGGCCCCCATACCGCGCCATACTTAGTGCCCCAATGGCCACGGGCACCACTGATGGTTTTTCCACCGTCTCCTCCTCTGTTCGCCATTGTCCGAGACATTCACTGATCACGTCGTCTGTTGGGGCGTTATCCTTGATGTACTTATGGATCTCGGATATTTCATCCTGGACAGTGGCTCTCATATGCGTATGTTAAACTTTAGTTAAAGACTTACATGATTACCTGAAGTGTGGATAGATGGCATTTACTGCATCTTACATTAGCTCTTCCAAGATTAGTTTGAAGTAGCAGTTAAATACTAGTGCACCTAAATTTTACATAAAAATAATTGTTCTGAGTTAAAAATAAAAGAAGGTAAAACCCACTGAAATGATCTCTAATTGATTATTTAAATACACTGTTTGTATGTGACGTTCAGGTACCTACTGGGGACCTAAAGAGAGAGCCGGAAGATTCCCAGGATGAAGAAAAGAAGATAATTGAGCAGCCAGAGGACAAGAAGTTCAAACAGGTACTGCAGGTAGTCTGCTGTGGAAATGATTAGAAATTGATCCCTTTTATTTTTTATTTTTAACAACTTGTCTTGTTGATCTTCCAGAAAGATATGCTTCGCCCTCCTTCCCTCCCAGCCAACCCCTTCCCCTCCACCCTGAGCATGGAGGCAGCTTTGTACAGCTTGCCTCAGAAGGTGGAACTAAATTTGGCCCTCATCAGGAACCCTACTCGACTCTCTGTGCTCTGGAACGTGGTAGAGGCGGACCCCGCTGCACCACCTATGGACAGCTACATGTAAATGGATGAATATTTATTATTTTTATTTACTAGTTAGTATTCTCTTGTCTCATTTTCTGTTTGCCTTTAACCAAGTTGCCGGAAAATTATTTTTCTTTTTACATTTGGTGTTATGAAACTTTTTTCCCTTCTTATAAACTTACATAGTTTTGTTGATTTGAACCAAATTAGCTTTAAACTTATGGGTGAAATGTTTGAAATACCCATCTGTTATCAGTGTAAGGCCTTGAGTCTTAATATAATTGTCTAACTGAATCACTCACCAGCATTAAAGACCCTTTCAGTTTGCTTTTGAGATATGTACATAACAAAAAAATAACATTTATTTGAATTTACGATAACCATCTACCATTATGGATTTAGTTTTATGGAACAGTTTGAACATCGTAGAGTCGGAAAAGGGTTTTAAAATACCTTCTCCAAGTCAGGGATGAGGTCCTGCCCCGAGTGGAGGGGTTTAGGTATCTCAGAGTCTTGTTCACGAGTGAGGAAAAGATGGAACTCGAGATCGATAGGCGGATTGGTGCTGCGTCTGCAGTGATGGAGACATTGTACCAATCTGTCGTGGTGAAGAGAGAGCTAAGCCAGAAGGCAAAGCTCGACCCCGGATGGGTGGCAGAAAATGGATGTATGGATGGAGTTTGAACATTGTGATCTGACAGATGATTCAGTGACGCCCAAGCTAAAAGTTCTAAGTGACTCGTTATCTTTATTTTTCAGCATCTTCCTGACTATGGAAAAGGACAAAGGAAGTGGCGAGTTCTCAAAATGGTACTCATATGATACGCTTAAGGCCACATCACTGCCGATGTGTGCACTGATCAAAAAGTACAAGCCTGGGCACAAGGTGTGTGCTGCTGTGGTGGGTAAGGACATCTTTGGACGTTACGGCCCTTATAGTGAAGTCGTTACGGCAACAATACCAAACTAATTTCAGAAGGCGTCTCCGAGTCAACTAATTAGCTTGTTTTTTTAAGCAGCTCTTGTAAGTTTTATTGATGGTTTTGAATATATTTTTATTGCTGTCTGTAGTTTTATAGATGCACACAATTATTAGACTACTACTAGATTTCTTTACTTAATTGATTTTGTCCTTTTTTGGTTAGCATGTTATGAGTTGAGCCACAACACACATTGTAGTGATAGTCATTCTAGAGATGCAGATTAACATTCAACACAGAGTGTTTTTAGATAATTTAATAAAGTGTTTTTAATGTGAACTGACTTGGGGCTTGTTTTTTTAAACATTTATGTTAAAAGACTGTGCCGAACAATACGTTTATGCAGAAAGATGTTAGTTTTAATAACCTAAAACATTTAGTAGCATGAATGTGACGTTGCATTCAGATGGATTATCTGAAATTTGTTGGCTAATAATAATTTGTACCACATCAGCATGTTTTTCTGTGCTGAATGTGCCACACGTTTTCTTGTTCAAAGTCATTCCTGCAGCACGAAGGTTGCAGGTTCGAAACTCGGCTCGGCTGCGGCCTTTCTGTGTGGAGTTGCGTGTTCTCCCCATGCATGCGTGGGTTTCCTCCGGGTACTCCGGTTCCCCCACAGATCACAACATGCCCTATAGGTTATAAATTGTAAGTCGCTTTGGATAAAAGCGTCTGCTAAATAAATAAACATAAACATTCGACAATGACCTAGAAATCTCAAAATGGAGTTTGCATTGTTGCGGGACCTGTTTGTCTTCTTGCTGATTGTTGTAGAGACAGCAAACAGGTAAGTGATAACATCTTGTTGTCAATGATTTGTCTTGCAGATTTTTTTATTTGTAAGCAAACTCCTTGCAGGTCCTGAGTGAATGTGGGCTCAGTACATTCAAAGTATAAGTAGACATCAAAATCAGTGTGCGTTAAAAGTTCTGAGAAAGTGCTTTCATCATTTAAAGACCAAGTTCACAGATAAATCCTTTTGTGCTTGTTATCCATCCATTTTCTTGCGCTTTTCCGGAGTCGGGTCGCAGGGGCAGCAGCCTAGTTCGAGAGACCCAGACTTCTCTCTCCCAAGCTACTTGGGCCAGCTCCTCGGGGAGGATCCTAAGGCGTTCCCCGACCAGCCGAGAAACTCCTTCCAGCATGTCCTGGGTCTTCCTTAAAGAATAACTAAACCCCAAAAGAACTTTTCTTTGCTTAGAGTCTGCTTAATTGGGTCTTTACAAATGCAATCTTTCTGTTTCTGTGCATTTTTTGACATGTTTATGTAAACTTGATCAAATCTAGAATCTAGGTCTAAAACGTCTTAGGTTTGAACTGTGGCTACTGCAATTCAAATTTGTGATTGACTGGGACTGGTACAATTTCACGTCATCGGTACAGTCTCCTCCCACTCCCCCTCCCTCCCGGAATAGAAATTCCCCACACTTGGCCATGCCACTCCCTGCCTCCTGGCAGCTCCCACTTTCATAGCAATTTTAAAATCTTGACTAGGGGTGGAGTTACGATAGTGTGCCTTTTTAAGGTCTTCTCCCGGCAGGACGTGCCTGGAAAACCTTACCAGGAGGCATCCTAACCAGATGCCCGAGCCACCTCAACTGGCTCCTTTCAATGTGAAGGAGCAGCTGATCTACTCTAAGCCCCTCCCAGCTGAACAAACTTCTCACCCTATCTCTAAGGGAGAGCCCAGCCACCCTGCGAAGAAAACTCATTTCGGCCGCTTGTATCAGCGTAATATAATCAGTCTAAGCTTCACATGCAGGCTAAACGTTAAATTGGTCTTCTTATCCCTATCTTGCATTAGCCTCAGATAGGAAACAGATGGGGGAATCACTCTGATGAAAAATGCCTGACATTTGTACGTTACATTGCTAAATTAATGGACTCACCCATCTTGGCTTGAATGGTGGTGTTGATTTAGCATCCAGGAGAGAGCCGAGTTAGTCTCGGTTCAGAAAGGCTAACAGTTAGCATTAGCAATTCCACAACAGGGAAAAACTCCTTCAGGCTTGTGCTATTTGCGGAGATAAAACAACAACGTTGCAGAGTGAACACTCAGTTGTAGAGTTGCATTACTGTTAACCAGTCAGGCAAGATGTCCAGATATCAGGAAATAAGACTCCAAAACCTTCTGTGTTACCTCTCCTGTGGCTCAGTTAACTAGTTTGGTTAGCTCAGGCAAAGAAACAGGAGCTAAGCTATCTAGGAGGATGAGTTCGGTTGGAGGCTGAAGGCAAGCTGCTAGGTCTGACCTTATTGACTTTGTCCACAAAGAAAGACAGGCAGTTTTCACAGTGCATCATAGTGGATGGAGGCTGTAGGAGAGACAATACTGCTGATGGTGTGAAACAACACCTTGGGATTCCCTTTTCTCCGGGACACCAGATTGGGAAAATATGCAACCCTCGTTTCTCTGACTGCAGAGTTACAGGAGGTCAGAAGATCCTGTAGGTGCAGCAGATGGACATGGAGACGGGGTTTCTTCCACAAGTGCTTAATTCTTCTGCACTGGTGCTTCCAAAATGTTAATTTTCATACTCGGGTCAAAAGATAAAAAACAAAACAAATGCATAAAAATCTACAGCTCAGAGTAAAATTGTCACAAATATTCAAGATCCATTGTGTGTGTGTGTGTGTGTGTCACTATTTCCGCCGACTGGTTTGTTTGCAGACTTTTTTTTATTAAGTGCTATATAAAAAATCCTTTCTTGTCCTTTGTGTGCTTCTGGGAAGTCTTTGGATGGACAAGTTCAGTTGACCAGATTCAAGACCGGAAGAGACGAGCAGAGCCACTGGGCCAGCCTGAAATTCTGACAACCCCCAACACCCAAGCACATTCCATTGGCCATCATCTGTGGCTGGCCACATTTATGATTGAAAGGCAGCTAACGATCAGTAATTTAGTCATTATCAAACCAAGCAGTCATTTGACAAAGCTCTGGTAGAGCTGGGGGAATCAGAAAATGCGAGGAGGGTATCGCTGCAGACCCGGATATCGCAGATTCAGGCCGACTGCAGATTCAGGCTTGTACTGTTTTTGAGACAGCGCTGTCCACTGTTTGCTAGCATTCCAAGATGGAGTACGATCGGAGAGTGAGTATAGAACGTGGAGAACAGTATTTGTTTAATTAGTAAGAAGGAAGAAAACCGAAAACATAATGGACCATCCAAAGGACCAATAATGCAGCTGGGTTATAAATAAAGTTTAACTGTATTAAAATGTATTCAGTTCATCATTGCAAAGTTCCACAGCTTTCTGCATAGAAATTAATGAGCCATTTGTGTTTTGGTCCATCAAGGTGTTACGAGGTGGTAACTTTTATTATTAAAAGTTACTCAGGAGTTTTCAAATTTGTATTCTGAGAACTACTTCACTGAAGCTTTTAACAACGAATAAACAATTTTTAATACGCTTCACCAACAATTACACCATTTTATATGTAACTGTTAAACCAGGGTTTCTCAACAGGGGCTGTAGCGCCCCCCCCAGTGGGTGTTCAGACTATATAAGGGGGCGGTGAAAGTTTTTTGCCACTGAAGGGGGTGCTGAGATGCTAAGGGTGGGCGCTAGCGGTACAGGACATTCATAACAGACAATGGCTCCGAATAAAAATAAGTGTTGACAGTCCAATGTGGACTACCTTCTGTATGGATGTATTCCTTCACCCACGAATCCACAACTCCCCATGTGCCCGCTTTGTGAGCAAGTTTTTTCAAACGAAGCAATGAAACCCTCCCAGCATAAGGAGCACTTGTCCAAAATGCATCCAGACAAAGCTCCAAAGGAACTGAACTATTTTCAGGTAATTAAAAGAGAGACACTCTAAAAGAGGTAGCATTAGTAGTGTTTGCTCGAAGCTCGAATTTACTGGACCGAGGATTATTAGCTTCCTACAATATCTCATTGCTAATAGCTAAAAACATTTTTTATGATACTTTTTTTAATGACATATTTGTTTTAAACAGTTTCAAACTCAAGGCTGAATTTTTTTTTAATTATGATTTTTGTATCAAAAACTTTCCGTTTCTCTTTCATTGGTGGGCAGTGAGGGAATTCAGCATGACTTGGGGGGGGGGGGGGGGGGGGCGTTTAGCTGAAAATGGTTGAGAAACCCTGTGTTAAACTGTAGAAGCTTCTGCAGCAGGCGTGAATCTGTGGTGTCCAAGTCTGCAGCCGTGAATCTGCAGTTAATCTTGAATTTGCGGTTGCAGTTGGTCCTTTAGATGTCGCTGTCTCAAAAACAGTACAAGCCTGAATCTGTGGTCTCCGGGTCTGCAGCGATTGTACTACTGGAAAATGCTGGGAGTTCTAGTGTTAAAGAGGCGAGCATGGTTGGAGGGTGTGAGGGATGCGGGTATTACGTCTGAAAGTGTGGGGGCTGTGGGAACGGAACTCCCAACTGGGGGCTGAGGGGGGCTCTCATTGAGTGGACGCAAAGCTCTACCCTTCCTCACTGCGAACATCAGAGGAATCATAAAACAAACACAAAAAAAGGGTTATAAATACTAGCTTCACGTAGCTCAATGCCGAGTTCTAAATCCTAACTTGACATAATTGGTTTTCCTTGCACCCCCTTAATAGGATAAAAGTAGGTCATAAATCCCCATCTTGACATAAGAGGGTCTAGGGGAGACCATTTAATAGGATTAATAGGGCTCTCCCTTAGAGATAGGGTGAGAAGCTCGGCCATACGGGAGGGGCTCGGAGTAGACCTGCTGCTCCTCCACAGCGAGAGGAGCCAGTTGAGGTGGCTCTCGACTTAGGCTACTACCCCCGCGACCCGACTCCGGATAAGCGGATGAAAATGGATGAACGGGTCATTAAACAGATGTCATAAATCACATCTTGACATAAGGTGGTCAACGGAGAGGGTCATAAAAGGTCATAAAGCAATAAAACTGTCAAAAGTTTGATGAAGGGTGGGGTTTCTTTCTCTTTTATTTTAAAGGCCTGAAAATAGAGGCCTTCAACTAAAAGGGCTCTGACCTTAACAAAAGGGCCTAACTCAAGGTGACTTATTTCTTAAAAGAGTAAATAACTATAAACACAACAACCAAAGGAAGCACTCTCCAAAATACAGCTATCGGGTAGTATTACTTGAACCCATACAACCAAAAGAACGCTCTCTGTCTGAAAAGAAGTACAAACAAAAAAAGCCTCACTATACGCTTCTAACAAAGTTCTCAAGCGCTCAACGGTCAAGAGCTAATTAATGAAAATCTAGAGTACGTAACAGAGACAAAATTAAGGCTGCTAGTTTAACTAAGTCTCCTAA